TTCTTCTTTTTGATGATAATACATTATAATGCGAGATAATATCTGAAATATCACAAAAATATTACCAAAAACAATATTAAAAAAAAGAAACAAAGAAAACATACCTTACTATTGTACAATTATATAAAGTTGTATTTTTAAATTTTTTTCCAAGTACTAATTTTACTATAGTGAATTCTTTAGCTGCCTCACAAAAATAAAAATAATTAATAAACCTTATAATCACCCGATAAGGATCCTGATTAAATAAAAATAAGGTTGTAATAGAGCAGCTCGATCGGTTCCCGAAGCATTGCGTTACCAAACATCTCAGGTCCCGATCAGGTGTACTCATCAAGACCAAATCACTAAGTAAGGCCTTGCCTGATCAGTTTCTTATCGGGACCTTATTAATATTTTTATTCGGGTCCCGAATGGAAATATTAATAAGGCTCCGATAAGGAACTGATCAGGCAAGAGTGATCGGGTCCTGATTAGTACACCCGATAGGGACCTTAGATGTTTGTAAACGCAATGTTTCTATCGGGAACCGATGGGGCTACACTATTACAACCTTATTTTTATTTAACTAGAACAATACAGGCGCGTGCTACGCGCGCGCACTTATTATAGTAATTTAATAATTATAAAATCTAAATATTTTAATAACATTTTTTTTATTTTAAATATTATTGTTAATCGAAATTATAGCCTATATACTGAAGATGGTTCAATAAGGAATCAAACTTTTACTATGTTTACTATTTTAATTGATTGAAATACATTTGACTTCAAACATTTGAACAATATTGCGCGGTTCTTTCTCGATATCTTGAATTTATTATTTTAATTTTTTATTTAATTGTGCAGATAAAAACTTATTTTATACTTAAACGCAATTTTTTAAATTATTTAGAAAATCTCTTTTTTGGCTGTGTAGAATGAAAAATCCTTTTCCATAATTAAAGTATGTATTCTAATACACTTTGCAGTCAATTTCGGCCTATATCAGAATTATTTAGGGCGGGTGGAGGGAGGGGGAAGATGCCATATGTGATCACTGTGTTGCCAGAAACGAGACGCGACATGATCAGATCGACTACAATCGCAAACGTGCTATACACGCGCAATGTTAAGTACAGGTAAATTTTGAAACATTTTATTTTTTAGACAATAAAGCAAGATGTTCTTCTTAATATTTTTAATTTTTAATATTGCACAAAACAAAATTATTGACGTGGTCAACTATTATCGAATCAGTGATTGTGTCATTACGTTATTTTTTATTTTTATCATAGTTTAAATACAAAAGAATATTAGCTAATAATCTAATTTCTTCCAAAAAATAACGCATTATGCTTCAGTATTGAGTATCCCTATTAATTTTATTTCAATAAAAAACATCAATTATAAAACAATGCCAAATTTATTTTTATAAGTTTTAATGTTATACCGTTATCTTGTAAAAACTGTATTACAATAATGTAAAATACATTTATTAATTATTATGACAAAGGATCACGTTTAGTTTTCATTCTAATTAAAAAAAAAACATATTTTTAGTGTCGTAGTATTATGCAGTAATAATAATTTTTTGATTGTGCACAGAATCGTAACATTGTTTAGATATGTGCAATTATCTTTCTTTGCAATTTTCTTTTATTTTTATTTTATCACTCCAGCATTACACGTAGCACGGACAAATATGAAAGAGAAGTTTTTAATATAAACATGTAAGTCTCAATGTTAATGACGAAAAATTTGCCAGCTGCTAATTGAATGGGATGTTGCGATCGTGCGATGACGAATAATATATTCTTCATCAAATTAACCGATAAGTAATACCAGTTGCAGCAGTAAATCGAATATGCAGTTTCTTCCGTTTGATACTTCAGATAATTGCCCACGTAAGAATAGGCAAATAACTGTGACAGCAAAGTAACTGATATCGCTCCAGTTTTAATTAACATTACTATGTCATTATTATTCAACGCCACGAGAAATTGGAAACCTGAAAAAATATCTCAATTATACAAAGTATAAAAATTATTAATAATTCTCTATATACACTGCTAGTCAAAAGTTTCTAAACAACAAATATAGTTGAATTTATTGCTCCAAAGTCACGTAACTTAGCCAAAAAAGAAAAATCGTAGGAACATTTTTAAACATGCGTTTTGCAGGTAAAGAGTCATAGTTTTTGTCACTTGTCATAAATTTATATACATATACAGGGTGTCTCAGAATGATCGTACCAACGCTCGTGAACGGGTAGAGAAGAATAAACTGAACAGAAAAGTTCTTTACCGTTTTGCAATATTTGCAATAATTATTGAGATAATAATTAAAAAGAATTGACAAATAAGTGCGCGATTCGCGCTGCAAAACTATGAGATGTATGCTCTAAAAGTAAAGCTTCTATCTGCTCGCTGCTCGCGTATTACTTTTGTCTTTGCCAAGCGATCAAACATTTTGTTGCCGTGCGACACTCGCCATTGTCATGCGTACGTACATGCAGTCCATGAACGAGTAGAGCGCAATAAACTGAATAAGAAAGTTTTTTATAATTTTGCAAATTTTGCAATAATTATTGAGATAATAATGAAAAAGGATTGGCAAATAAGCGCACGTTTTGCGCGGCTAGATCGTAAAATATATGTACTCTCTAAGCGAATGACAGCGGCGAATGTCGCACGGCAAAGAAGTTTGATCGCTCGATGAGAATAAGTGACATGCGAGCAGCGAGCGAGCAGCAACTTTTCGCATATATATAAAAATGCAAAATAAAAATCTCATTAAATGTTTACAAGATTTTGTATAATTGATATTTGATAAAGTACATACATATTTTTATATATTATATACATAAATATACATACATCCACATACATATACGCAAAGCATTATTTAAGTTTTATCACTTTTTTAATATTATTAGAATATTAAAAGATATATAATATACAAAAATATGCATGTACTTTATCAAATATTAATCAATTACACGAAATCTTGTAAACATTTAATAAAATTTTTATTTTATATTTTTTTGTAAAGTATACTAATACGCAATACTCTATAGGTGTACGTATAATATTGCTTATATTAATTAAAAGTATTACATATATAAAGAAAATATTTACCCATTACGCAAATAAGAATGCAGCTAACAAGCAATTGCAGTAATAAAGCAAAATTAATTGCTTGGATCAGAAGTTCCACATGATCCAATAGATAACAGTGTCTTTCCATTAATTTTGAAAAATCTTCATTTATATTTTTTTGTTTCACACCAAAATTAGTAAATTCCTTTCTTAAAAGTTCCATTTGACCGCAAACATGCAGAGTAATCGCGAGAAAAAGTGAATCACTGCCTTTGTAAATAAATGTTCCAATCTCGTATTAAAATAATTGATATTAATAGCTTTAACAATAGAAAAAATTTATTTAGAGTCAAATGCAAGTAATATAAAAAATATAACATTATGGCATTTATTTTATAAATTGTACAATATAGAATATTCACAATATATGCATGACAAAAATAAAGCATTGTTAAAATTAATAAAACTTTAATTCAATACAATTTTATAATAATATTTTATTTAACTTTACACAAAAGCATTGTACGTAATTAATAGTTAATAAACCTGAGGTAAAAACAAAATTGTAAGAATTAAGATAAAGATATCAATGTACATTTCTTTGTTAAAAAAAACTAACAAAGAGATTTAAAGTAAATAATAAAGTAAATAATAAATATTTTGCAGTTTGTGTAACTCATGTTTCGACAAGACAATAATTTTTTAATTTTATTACCTAAATTGGCATTGCAAGTGATCGTTAATGCCATACATTGCAGCACAAAGATTATTATGTATATGATCGTCCAACTACTCATAAACTGCAATGTGCATGATGAAGGAATTGGATATATCAATGCAGATTCACTGGTGGATATATTAATTTTGACATCCTTATCATTTGCCAACAAAGGCGCCAGAATCAAACCCATTGTACTGAAATAAGAGAAAATTACGGCACTGTAGCAAGTTGCCCTTCCCATGAAAGCGTGTCGCCGCATAATTATTCGCTTCTCCTCGCTGTCAATTGTGTCATAATCGTTCACGGCAGAAGTAAAATTGCGTATCAAATTATCGGCGTAAACGCGGAACATTGTTATCTTTAAAATACCGAGAAAGCCGCAAGTGATCATCATAAGAGAGTCGAGTTTCTGATACATATCGCTGCAACCGTGATACATTTCAAGCTGCACTAATATCATCATAATGAGCTGCACAGGTAAAAACAGGATGGACAATTCAACACAAATTAGATTTTTTTTAAATTTTTTACTTAATTCACATTTTATTAAACTTAGATTTGATTACACTTCATATCTTGAAGACACAAACAGAACAGAAACTTTTACACAGTATAAGATAAAAAAATTGAAAACGTACCATACCGAGACTAGACAAGATATGACACATTAAAGCGAATTTATTGTATTCTTGCAAGGGCCAACCACCCGTTGGTATAGTTAAAAGTTTGAAGGGAGTCATAGCGTATGACACATCGTCATTCCATGACATTATCGTAGTCAAGTAGAGATGTTGTGCGGCACTGTCGATCTTTATCCATAATACAAGTCGATCATCGGCAGTACATCTACTTTTACCTTCATATCTTATTGAAGTTACGCAATTACTTCTCAACTTGAACTGTTATCTTTCAAAGTGCGGTTATTTTAAAAATTACAGAAAAACTTTTTTGTACGAAGTAAAAAGAACAGAAAATTGAATGCAAAAAGTAAGTCTTATTTTTATTTCAATATGTTCTTTTTAGTTAGATTTTTTGTTTTGATACTGTTTTGAAAATGTACTTTACTTTGAAGCACCACATTTTATCATCGAGAATGTGTACGACAGAATACGATTCAGTTTTAAATTTTAGTCTACCAGTTTCTGCGATAACAGGTAATTAATTAATTTTTAGCTACATTCTGCATATTACACAAAAAAGATTTTTTTTTAACCGATTAGATGAATATATTTCATTCATAATAAGTGATTTTATTAAACTTTTATCATAACATGTCATATTATTATGCTGTTTGTTTTTTTTTAGCCATTTGTCTTTCTGTTTGTTTTTTTCTTACTTTTGAAATATTGTATATTGTATATACTTTACGCGTCCACTATCACTCGACAGCTAAATAAATACAAAACAAAATTTTTTAGATTATTTATGTATATTAGTTTGCAGATCTACAACAATACAATTTTCAGCTTATAGCTTGATTTGGACTTAAATCCATATTATTATAAATATTATGTATATTCTTTGGCACTTTTATAAGATCTTACTAAGTGTAGTAAACAAACAGTATAACTTCTTCTCTGTTTAGAACCTTAAATAACTTCTAACAATGCTACATGTTGTTTAACTGTGCGAGAAAAACTCCAAGTAACAGAAAACTTCTTAACATTATATCGAAATCGTTGATTATCAGCGCAATAATGAATGCACATTCTGTAAAAATATACATCTTTTAATATAAATTTTTATAATATAAACGTTCTGATTTCCAGATATTTTGACTTTCTTTCCAATGCGCGAATATACAATTTTCCGTCGATATGATAAAGCGGATAACTAAACTTAACGCAAAGTATCCTTCATAAAAACGTATATCGCGGGAACTAATAAACATTGCGTGGAATATATTTGCTACTTTTTTGTATAAAATTGCCGCCGTAAGAATACATCTGCGACTGCATGAACATGAAGTTTGAAACTGAAATACTTTTCACTGCTTTGACATAATTATTATTTCGCAAATAGAATGTTATATTTAATCATGAAATAAAAATCTTATTATTATAAAGCAAAAATAAAAATGTAAAAATTGTTTGATTTTGCAGATTAAATTTTCAATTTTAAATTACGTTGTTACGATTTTAAGTTACGTTAATTTACGTATATTATCGTGAACAATTATCGCGAGCTATTAATCGTATCGGTTAAAACATTTTTCTGAAACTTTTCTCAAACATTTTTGTTAAACTCATATTTTATGAAGTAGCTTACGAGGCGTATGTGGGGAGATCCTTCGAACAGTAGTAAGGGAAACATAAAAGAGACCAGTACGCATGTGTGCATACCTATAGACGGCTGTAATACCTTCCCATACTGTTCCGTGGAGTGCAGCGAGACAGTAGTGGAGAAGTTGTAACAGCAGAATGACGCTAAAGGGAACGTGCATTGTTGCAGTGACAGTGTTTTCTGTATTATAAAAAAATTTATTGCGAATTTGCAATGATCAAAGTGATTAACAGAAATGTGAAAACTAAATCAAAGTGATTTATATGTAAAGTTAATGTATTTAAAAGTGTAAGTTTTAGTGCAATTTGATTATGATGTGTTTCGATTTTCAACAAGTAATAAATGCTTCAACAAAATTGTGCAACGTCAATAATACAGAATAATCAATTGTGTTTGAAAGGTAATAATCAAAATATATTGACGGATCATAAAAAATTTTAATCTTGTAACTGCATTAAAATAATAGAAAAAAATTATTATAAAAGAGACAAACGTTGAACAAGAAAAAAATATTTTAAGAAAATAAGTATTAGTATTTCCGATTTTGTTTGAGAAAAAAAAATTCATGTAGTAATTATTGAATAAACGGCTGAATTGTGACAATAATTAACAATTTTATTAAAACAATAGTATATAATAAACTCTTGTTTTCACAAACTTCTATCTTGAAGAACGCAGTTTTTCAATTATAAATTTATAATTTCTAAAATTCTTGTATTACGTGTATTATATTTTATGTTTCTACCATCACGCGGAGTACAGATAAATACGACATTGACGTTTTCAGAATGCTCATGTAAGTTGCCAGATTTACTACAACGAAATTTCCAGCTTGCAGCTTGGTAGGAGATTGTGTCCGCATAATAATAAAAACTAAGTGTTTCATTAATTTTGCAGGAAGAGCATACCAAGTACTTTGATAAATGTAAAGTCCAATTTCTTCCATTTGGGACTTTAAATAATCCCCGACAACACTATATACCGTCACTTGTGTTGTCATGGTACACAGTACCATAAAGCTTTTCCCCATCATAACAGGATTATTGAATTTTAACGCTAGAATAAATTGAAATCCTGAAAAAAATATTATTGATTTAATATAAATTTTTATAATATAATTTACATGTTTCATAAAATTGTTAGAAATTATATTTACCCATTATGCACAAAAGTAGACTGCTAATAAATAATTGCGTCAGCAAAACAGTACTAATTGTACTGGCAAGTTTCTTGGCTAACACTATCAAATGGTTATGCCTTTGAATTAGAGCGTTTAAACGATCGTAGACTTGCGGTTTTGTAACATCAAAGTCAATGAAACGAGCTTTTAGAATTTTCACTTGACCGCAAACGTGCAACGTTATATTGAGAAACAAGGAGTCGTTACCTTTAAAATCAGAAAAAGAAAACGTATTAATATAGATCTTAATTATCATGTTACTGTAAAAAAACATAATTTTGCAACAAATATTTATTACATATGCATTGAACTTCGTACATCTTTTACGTTATACTTTTATAAATATATTTTCATGATAAGATATTATCATACATAATGTGCTATTTATAATAAAGATGAATAAAATTATAATGTTCGAAGAAGCACAATTTTGCGTTTTCTAAATTGTTTTAAATGGTAATTATAATACAAAATACATAAGAAAGCATAAAGCAATAAATATATTACCGTGATTACAGGTACACGTAAGTATTAGTACGATAAATTCGAAAAGACTGATTATTCTATAAAATAAGTCAATGCTCGTCGGAGCATTGAAATATTCTAATGCACATCTTGACGGCATTGGGTATTCCAATACAGCGTCTTCGCTCGTTATGTTAACCTGGTAACTTTGGTCATCGCCCAGGAGAGGAATGAGCGAATAAATTATTACACTGAAGTAAGAGAAGAACACCATGAAACAAGAGAGAATTCTCCCGACAGAAGCGTGTCTTCGCATAATGAAACGGTGCTCTGCATCTTCAATTGTCTTATAATCATTTAAAGCAGCACCGTAATTGGCTTTTAAATTGTCCGCGTAAATGCGAAATATAATTGTCTTCTGTACACCGAGCACGCCGCAACAGATCAACATAAGGCTGTCTATATTCTGCTCCGCGTCAGTGCAGCCCATGTAAATCTCCATGGTAGGCAAGATCACTATTATGCTCTGTTGATATGCGTAAATGGTATATTTTTTCATTCAATCAGCGTTTTGGGTCTAGAAAAAAATATGTCCCAATTCTAAATCGACGAATTTTCGCAAAATTATCTAATTATAAATAATGATTTTTAGAACCTGATACAAATAACGTTTTCCTCTTAGTTTTCCATGTATAATGCCGAAAATATATCCAGACTTGCTTAGGAATATAAAGAACTGGATTATATGTTAACTTCAAAACTTATCTCAGTATAATTTTAATATAATAACAATGACAAGATAAATATTTTTACTATAGCAAATAATAAAAATGTTACACTTTATTACTTTTTTGCACTAGCCCATGTATTCTTTAATTAAAATTGATGTTAGTATAAATGTAATTAACATTTTCTAACAATATTATTCGTCTAGCTTGTCTTTCATATAATACGCTGTCAAAGAATATTATATATTGTTAATCGCGATCGACAAAATTATAAAATAAACAATAGAGCATATACGCTACTTTTAGAATTTTTTAGAAACAATCACACTCAAAAAAATGATCTTGCAATAATAGCTAAAAT